ATTGGAGGTTTCTGATTGGTTGATTTGATACGATGTGCGTGGAACGGTCCCCCCCAGCGCGCTGCTCGACGCGGTGACACAGCGTAAGGAAGGGTTCAGTTCCTCCATGCGTACGAAGAAAGCTCACTCAGCGCGAACGCGATTTGTGCCATCGACGGCATCGTAAACAACCCGTAGTAAATGTAGTTGACCGTATCGACCCTGGGGTGGGAAAAACCCGATTTTTTCGCCTGTCAAATCGGTGTGATGGATTGAATCATGAAAACTCGATGCGTGGGTATTGAAACCATGGTTTTATTCACGAGCACGCGGCAGTGCTTCCACAGGGCCGAGTTGTGGGCGGGTTAACGTCGTCGGTGTAGAGACCCCACAGGTCACTCACTACCTTGCCGACCTCGTTTACGCATGCTCCTGAAGCCGCATCGTCATTGCCATGGCCGTTTAATGATTCACCGCCTGTGCCGGCCCTAGGATCAGCGTTGATATTGCTGTCGTCGGCGATGCCGCTTTCGATGGCGATCGTGTCCACAACGAAGTCGGCCATGATCACAAGTGCAATGGACAATGGCCCACCTCTCTCAACAAGCAGCGCAGCCGTCACGCTATGAAAACCCGATTTTCCGAATAAAACCCGATTTTGTGCGAGTTCAGACAATCGGGTTTTATGTTAAAACCTAAAAATCCCGATTGCAAAACACCACCGTTGTCATGATCACGTCGATGCATGGGGCGACAGGAAAACCTTCGACTTTGACATAGTACGTGACCTTCGGGATATCTCCCAGTGCCGGAGAGTCCTTTGTAACATGTTAACGTGTGAGTTGTTTTTCAGCCAAGATTCCGGTGTGAAAAGAACCAATTTCGTGTTAGAATGGCCTCTTTAGCTGTGATCGGGGATTTTGCTCGTTTACGACTGGCGTGACCATGCGCAGTGACAAAACGGTGGCGGGCGCCGGCTGTCGTGGCAGCGCCGGCTCGGAGTAATACCCTTGCACGGCGTTGGACCATCACGACATGGACGTTTGGATTTCACTCATAAAACCTGAAGCAAAATCGCTTCCTCGCCGATGATTGGTCAAATCGGTCGGTAGCGATTGGTTCGGACAAAATCGCAGGCGATGATTGGACAAATATACAAAACGAATGATATTGGAGGTTTCTGATTGGTTGATTTGATACGATGTGCGTGGAACGGTCCTCCCGCAGCGCGCTGCTCGACGTGGTGACCCAGCGTAAGGAAGGGTTCAGTTCCTCCATGCGTACGAAGAAAGCTCACTCAGCGCGAACGCGATTTGTGCCATCGACGGCATCGTACCTCGTTCTACATGATAGATCTGAGGATGGGGACAAGGAAATGGATGCCACCAAAACCATTGTCGCAAAGTAATCAAGCCGGTACAACGTGCCCCAGCATCCGGCGGTCGTTCATTTGAACACATGCGGTCGGCAGGACGGATCGCCATCTTTGAAGTGGGTGGTGTGCATGGAGAAGGGGGTTGGATTCGTTTAGCGGAGGCAGACCCACACGCCACCGTGGTAATGTCACCGCAGCACGGACCGAGCCAGGGCTCGAAAACGTCGCCAGTGCTAGCCACGCACGAATTCGTGACCTCGATGGGGCCGTGCGTGCAATCTTTCATGGCGTCGTAGTCGTCGACCGAGTCGAACGTGGTCGCCGATTGCACTGTCGTCCCGCGCATCCATCGATGCGAACGTGGACAGAGTTGTCTACGGGTGCGCTTCTGGTGACGTGTAGGAGTGAGGGGCAGTCTGCCCTCACGTACACCCCACGAGTCGTCCATTCGTCACTGAATGCGACTAGACGAGGCGCGCCAGCAGCCATGGAAGCCCCCTGGGATTATACCTGGTACAGCTCCAAAGGCGACCTCCATGACCGCACCCCGACATTGCTAAGCGACGACAATGGCAGCTCCCCCCCAAGCGTCAACTTACGGCTCAACCTTGGATTAACACGAGCTGCAAGCGTGTCTTTTAGGCAATTCCACGACCTCCGATCTCACGACGGGCAATGCCATCCCGAGGGTTTGCGCCACTTGCTCGTCGACAGGTCGTCGCAAACCCGTCCGATACAGCCCACGTCAAGCAGGGGAATCATGGGTGCGACGAGAGCCTCCGCCGCCAATGTTGCCATGTAGCAATCGGCGCCGTCCGTGGGATGGACAGCTCGCGTCGGGCCGGTCGATTGTGGCATTTGTCCGCGCCAGAGACGGCGCTTTGTGGTTTGGACTATTTTAAGCAGTGGCCAGGCCGTACGAAGGCACACACGGCAAAAGCACCGCCCTTGTACGCCTTCGCCGCCTTGGAAGACGACAAAGCGTTGACAGGCTCCTCGCAATGCATTCCATCGAGATGCATGGGAGCTGCAGGTCCGTCCGTCGTCTGGGCGACGGCCGTGCATCGACACAACAAAATTTCGCACTAAAGTGAAGTAGACAAAATAGCTTCGCATCGTGTCGGCTGTTGGCCGCTGTGGCATCAGACTGGCAGGCAAGACGATGGACAAGGAGGTGGTGCGTCGGACGGAAGAGCCCGTGCTGGAGCACTTCGTGCCGGATTCGATCGCGCCGTTCTTTGGCCTCCTCGTTGGCCTTGTGTCGTCGTTGCTGCTGACGGTCGTCGTGTTGTACATTTGTGTTCGGTTCTGTTCGTTCCGCGCGGCGGCGGTGTTTCAAGAATCGTCGTACCACACCGAGGACAGTCCTGCAAGCGAGAACGAGGTAGGCACGGCGGCTGGCTCGCCTGGATGCCGTGTGGGGTGGTTGGTTCATGATGATGCGAGTAGGAGCCCGCGCGGTCGTCTGGCCCGTTTTGGAGGACCTCTTTGTTTCGTCGCACGTCGGCGACCCCGTCCATAAACACGGACGTGATGCACGTGGCCCTCGGAGAATCGCAGAACCTACCCGTGTTTGTACGTCCGATGCTGTCGTTCGCGAGAAGATGGGCTTGCTGACCCGTTGCCAGGGCGTGCGCCTCAGCACCGTGCTGGACTGGAAAGACCTCGAACGATATCGCCTCAACAGCTCCAACCTGCACCTTATCCAACGAATCGTACGGCTGTCTTGTTCCGTTTTTGCATGTTGGAACGCTTCTGACAAAAATGCCCAGGCATCGGGCGGCTTTGGGTCGGTCTGGCTCGGCAAGTACGACCAGAACGACGTGGCGGTCAAGCTGTTGGCGTCCGGCCGCATCAAAACCCAAGATTCCATGCAGCGCTTCATCAATGAAGTCAAGTTGCTGGCGAGGTAATGCCTCTGCCGACCCGTCCCCTCGGCATCACTTTGTGCGTCGGGCACTATCCACGCGACGTAGGCTTCAGCACCCGAACGTTGTCGAGTTTATTGGAGCGTGCTGGCAATCGCTCGATACGGTGCACCTTGTCGTTGAGTACATGAACATGGGGGACCTGAAGGATCACTTGGACCGACATGCCACCATGCCGTGGCAGCACAAACTCCAGTGCGCCGTCGACGTCGCGGAAGGGCTGAGCTACCTGCACCACCTCGAAGTCATCCACCGGGACCTCAAGTCCCGCAACGTCCTCATGGACTCGCACAAACCGTGCAAGCTGTCTGACTTTGGCATTTCGCGCAAAGTCGTGTCGACCACGATGAGCCAGGAAGTTGGGACGTTCCTGTGGGCCGCCCCGGAAGCTCTCAATGGGAGCCAGCTCACCGTGGCCGCTGACATTTACAGCTTTGGTACGTCCATTGTTGTGGCGCACTTGGTCGATGGATGCTGTGGTTGCGATGGATTGCTCATGCTTGGTTATGTAGGAATGATCTTGTCCGAGCTGGATACGCATCGAGTCCCGTTTGATGGTCTCGCGACCGAATATGGCGACGTTCTCGTCCCCATGGCAATTGTGATGAAAGTCATGGAGGGCGAGCTCCAAGTTCAGCCGTCGCCGGGCTGTCCGTTGCCAATTGCGCTCATCATGAAAGCGTGCACGCAGCATGACCCGAAGCTGCGCCCGACGGCGAACGAGCTCCTGGACACGTTGCGGACTTTGCGCCTTTGATGTCACCGCCAACTCTTCCCTAGCATGCAATGGAATTATCGGCTCGTTCTGCCTGGGGGTCACGGCGTGCTCGTGCCACGGGCATGACACACTGCCCTTCTGTCGTGGGGATTTGAATTGGATCCATGCGAAAGAACTCGCCGTGCTGCCGTTTGGTCGATTGCGAGCCATGTTGATGCTCAAATCTATCTGAATGTGCCCAGCGTCCGGCATCAACTCCATGGATCTACTGCCACGACAATTTACTTTCGATCGAAGGCGTGATTGAGAGTTCGTGCCGTACCTGATGGCGCAGCTATCTCTGGTGAGTCTGACTCCAAGCCATGACGGTCGACCATAGCTTCTCACAGCTCCATCCAGACCGCCCCAAGGCCAACACGTACAGCGAAGCTCGTGCGGGCCGCGGATGATGGGCGTCGCATGCCGTCGAGAAACTCGACCAAAGCCAGGCTTCAGTCGCGGGACGATGCGGGCGACGCATACCGATACGCGTTGGACAGGATTTGGACAATGCATGGCGGATCGGTGGCCCTCTACGCCACCGATAGGTCTGCGAATCCACTGGACGCAGTCCTCGTTGGTTGCCAGCCACCACTACGTTGGGAGGCTGTTGAAGTCATCCTTGAAGCACAACGTCCGACTGGCCACGATCGTCGTGTTGGTATGCACCGTTCCATTGACGCGGATGTAGCAGTTGTCAGTCGAGTCGGCACAGGCGACGGAAGCCGCGACGAAGACAACGGAGATTTGTCAGCGCTGGCCTTCATGGTCAACGGCTTCTCACTAGATGTGACGCACTCGTGCGATGGCGTCTTAGATGCTCCATGTAGTAAGCGTGATGAAAAGTTTTTAAGGTTGTGGTCAAACGGCAACCGTACTGGCTGGGCGATCGTGTTGTCGAATGGTTGGCGCATTTGATTGTCCATCATGCATTCAAAAGTGGGCAGTCAGCTCACGCTGCGTTTGGCACAGCTAAACCACGTCGGTAGCTGCACCGCGCTTGCGCGCACGTTCATCAACAGTGGCTCGACACGTTGTGCATGACAGTCCCGTTGTGCCGTATGGACAGGATGAACCAACGGGGCGACATCATCGGCACATGACGCTTGGGACAACAAGGTGCATTGTTCAAAAGACAGCGACACCCGCCCCGTCAAAGTCGCTCAACTGAAGTCGATGGCGCGCAGTGGAGACATTGCCGCGGGCAAGGGCGATTGGTCCCCCGCCGATGACTTGTACACCCGCCCCCAACTGTTCGGCCGAGTTGATGTGTGAGACGTCGACACCGCTTGGTGCATTTTTCAAGCACCTACCACGGTGACGGCGCATGGTAACAAGCCCTCGCACGTCATGATCTCCCTGGCCGGGTTTGGACGAATTTTCTTATGCATGCGCTGGTATTTCAACCGCCAGCAAAGCAATTCCCCCCACTCCGTTGCTCTCCACGAAGCTCTAGCCACAGCATTAACCCCCGACATGGAACACGTGGGGGGGGGTTGCCAGTGGCTGGACAATGCCATCTAAACACCTCGTGCATCTTGGTTGGTTCTGCTGTCGCAGCAACGGCACATTACAATTGCCTCCACATTCGGCTGCAAGACTCGTGATATTGGACGAAATAAGTAGGGTGTCATGGAATGGGGTTATGCGTGCTGGTCGCCGTGGGTCTGGTTGCTGTGTTCGCAGCAGTAGAGCGAAGGGCTTGTGGGCACAAACGGCGTGGTGGCAGTCAACGGCGCCGCCGTCGACTGCATATCGTGGATCCATTGGGACGCCACGTCGAGCTCCTGTTTCAGGGCAGCGTTTTCCTGTAGCGCGTTGTGTCTTGCGTGAGCTTCGTGATGGGCCACTTGCTTCCACACGGACCCGAGGTGGAGGCGCTGGAGGCCCATCAGTTTTGTCTCGAGGTGCCATGCCTCGACCCGCAAATTGGTCAACTCCTCCTTGACGGGGTATCGACGCTTGTCCTTTGTGCATGCTGTCGTGGCCATGGGAACTCGAGTATGTGTCGTGGGAACTCGGGAGGATGGCTCGCTCGCGCGATGGGGCCGAGGCCTTCAAATGGAAAATGAGGGGGACACACGGGCAAGGGTTTATGGTCTGCGCCGTGCATGCATGAACCCTCGTGATCAATACGTCGACCTGAGAGCGTGGGATGTTGATAGTAATGGGCTCGGCGCCGCCATTCATCGTCCCACTCTTTGATGTAACTTGCTAACGACCCCCAAAAGCCAGCACGTTCTAGCCACGAATTCCTGAATTCGGAAGTATAACAGCCCATGGTGACGGCGGTCTCGTCGGGATCTCGCCGCCGTGGCCACGTCGGATGTATGCGCACACGATCGATCCATCGTGGTCATCTCTGACACCACTTAACACACACCCACGACTGGAGAGCCGCCCAATATGTAGACAGATCTGCGCGAACGCCGCAGGCAATCTTATCGACACCTGAGCAAGCGACGATGTTGCTGCGTTCTGTATGTAAGTACAAAGCGCGTCCACCCCGTCGAGTCACGCCAAGATCGTCATGTCTCGCTTCATTCATCGAACACACGCTTTGTTCATTGGACAATATCAACCAGACAAACGTTGAAGGGGAGTCGTTTGCATCCGCCGGATCCGCATCCTCTCGCGATAGATCAGCCGATGTTGGAGCCGTCGGGATGGCAAGGGAGTGGGGGCGGGCATTCGATTTTGTTGCCCGAGCTGACGGATAACCAAGCACCTGCGTCGTGGCAACCACGCCACTTCTTCCTCCGACAAAGGCGAAGACGGCGCGTTTTCCCAGTTCGTCGCTATCAGATTGTCTCGTATACGTATGTGCAGCCACGGACAAGAAGTTGAACCACAGCGACACGACTACATTCCGTATGTTCTGTATATTACGTATATCTCGGTGCCTCGATTCAGGGAGCCCCCCGTCCAACGCGACGTGCCGCCGATGTCGGGGACGTACTTGCGTCGCGAAAGTGTATCATGCAGTTGAGCGGTGATGGGCTGACGGGAGGATAACCCCTCTCTACTCGACACGGTTCGATCGAAAACAATTTCTTGTACGTGTTGGTTCGTCTTGTGGTGGTCGTTGTGGGAAGAGGAGGAGCGCGGAGAGGGTTCCTGCGAGGGCTGGACGGACATTCGAATAGTGTGACTGGTACGAACCCCAGTTCGCAGATGATGAAGAGGCACCGTCTAGACCGATGAAACGGTGTAGGGGTCAACGAATTCTCGATCGATGGTGGCGAAGTGGCCCCCCCTCGCTCCGCCTCCCCCGTTCAATGGCCCATTTGAGCTCAACGAGCTGGCTCATGTCTCCTCCAACGACTCTGGTTCGCTGCCCACTTCTTTCTTAACGCGAACGCACGCATCCAGTCAGGATGTCGCGGTATCGCGTGATGTAGACCACATTTTCGTCCCCAGCCACTACCGTTGGTAGCATCCATGCCCACCAAACGTCTTGCAAGCGCATCCACCACTCCGACCTGGTACAACCGCTGGCGCATCGGAGCAGCGCACTCTAGCAAGCACGCAATGGTTGTCATGTGGGGTATTCGTGGAAGCACTTTCGGGATGCTTCTTCTGCGCGAGGCACTCGGACGTCTGAAAACGAGTGTGCTTGTGGAACGTACTGCTCAGTACATCGCTGTCGTTGTGTCTCTGACACATGCGTCGTATCGAAGTCATCCATAAAAACTATCGCGATTTCTTAGCCTCATGTGCCACTCATCGGGGGAGCATTGACGTGCGCCGGCTAGACACGATCGTCCATGCCTTCATGCGTCTTGAGTGGCTCGCGTGGCATCGTCACGCTCACCTGCATGCGTGGTGAGTTGTGATATTGTGATTCACGGTACCTGCCGCCCCCCCCCTCTCGGCCAACGTCTTCGATCTCGACGAAGGACCGGCGTCGAGCCCCCCCCCCCGGACGCGTATTTGGGTGACCAAAACGCCTTTGTTCAACACGTCGGAAACGGACACGGACACAGATGCCACGAACGAGACTGTTGGAATGCTCAACGAGACCGCGGAGGACACAGTGACCATACAATCCGTCACTACCTGGCACATCACAAGCACTACATACGCCGCACTTTACGTCCCCATCAATGGACGTGCACGGAAGGATTCATTGAATGTCCTGGAATGAAACCACGGCTGGGTGGGGGGAGGGCTGCGGTGTGCACGTAGGAAAGGGCGTCGGAAGCGGTGTTTTCGGGTAAAACCGTGTATTGTGGCGACTGGTCGATACATTCAGTGCGCTGGCACCCAACCATCCTAGCCAGTGTTGAAATTTCTCCCCTTGCCCGCACTTCCAACTCGCCCCGCCACTCCCCCAAGACTGGCGAAACACTATCCACTTGTTCCCCCTCACAGTTTACGTTGATGTTGTCTCAGCGAAAGCCATGGAATCGTGGATTTGCTACAACGACTTGATTGCGACATGCCTCCGACATTTGCCCAGGACGCAGGCTGCTCGCGACAGGGCCCCGACACAAATCGCGGAGACGCACCTGTTTATGGAGTGGATCAAATACTTCAACAGGTTGAGAATGCAGCACATCCTCTGGCAACGTGGAGACTACTCACGGAAATCATATTGCTCACATGTCGGGCTATGCCGAAGGCTGCTGCGGGTTGTGCTTGGCCGGGGACAAGCCCCCACCATCCACCGCCAGCGAATGGCCTCGGCGCGCAAGCACATAGGCGTCCCACGGGCATGACAATGTTGAGT